TATATATATATGTATATATATCTCATACATTCTGTATTTCTATCCTACTTGCGTTCACGTATTACGCCTATCTCCATCTCGAAGTACGATATACAGAATGTGTACACGTACACACACTTTAGGTATATATTGTATATACATATACTTATGTATAGTTTGTATCGAACGTGTGTGAGCGACACGAGAAAGCTCATTGTGTCCTACTATAAAACGCACTCGAAAACCAGAATCGTAAACGATACGATCGATCTCCTTCCATGCATGCAACAAACACACAACCGTTTCTCTCATACGTTCGTTCTCGCGAGAGAACCGTTCGTTCTCATTCTCGTTTATACCGGAAACGGACTCGACGACAATTTTCTTCGATATTTAAATATACATATATATATGTATATGTATTTAGTAAGTGATTAATTTGATCGATTGATCAAATTCATTATCATTGATCAATTTAATAATTGTTTCCTTTGTCAAAATTTTGATTAGCATGGAAATTACTGCTTGATGATATATCATTCCTTCTATTCGTATAATTACATACTTTTACGCATATACATACATATATAGATACACACACGCATACATGTATGAAGAAAAGAAGAGAATTTTGAAGAGTTAAACGAATCGAGTAAGACAAAGTGACGTAATGACGTAATGACGCAAACACCCTGCTATTGTTAAATCCCATTATTGCCGACCCATTAACCGCGTTTTCGTCGTAACAGTCCAACCTTCCCTTATTCCTCTTATTCCATCAAGTCTGTCCATCCAATCCACCCACTCATCCATCCATATCCGTCTATTCGTTCGATGGTCGAACTTGAAGTTTTAAAAAAAAAGAAAGAAAAGAAAAGAAAAGAAATAAAGAAAGAAAGAAAGAAAGAGAGGAAGGAAGGAAGGAAGGAAGGAAGGAAGGAAGGAAGGAAGCAAAGGGGGAGGTAAAAAAAAGAAAGAAAGAAAGAAAAGGGATAGAAGAGTCGGTCGAAAGGGAAAACAACGAGCTTGGAAGAATTCGCGGGCGTGCAATTGCCAACAGGTGATACCATTGGGGCCTCCTCTTAGAGCTCGAATAATGAGAGAAAGGGAGATTGTGTACGGGCAAGAGAAATGAGTGAGCGAGTGAGTGAGTGAGTGAGTGAGTGAAAGTAAGAGAGAGAGGAGAAATGGGGTAGAAATCAGGAGAGGGGTGGGTAGGTGTAGAAGAGGAGGAGGAGGAGGATGGTGGTACTGCTACTAGTGATGGTGCTGGTAGTACTGGTGGTGGTGGTGGTGGTGGTGGTGCCGGAAGGGTGGCCAACAAAGACTTTATCGTTTGGAGGACCGATTACAAAGCTCGATTGTTACCATTCTTCAGGATCCAAATAATCTCGCTCGTCCGACCACGGGCGAGCAGCTACGATGGAAGTTTCTACTCATCGGGTTCGCGCACAGACCAACCATCGAAAGACTCGTTTCCTGTCTGTCTACCATTTTTTTTTTTTATTTTTTTATTTTTTTATTTTTTTATTTCTTCTTCTTCTTCTTCTTCTTTTTTTAGGTGTTTCATTGTTATTTTTATTTCGATTTGTATGTAATTTTTTTCTTGTTTATTATTTTATTATATTATTACTTTTTATTTTTCTACAACCCATCCCTTTTCCTGATTTATGTGCGGATGTTTTCTTTTTTTTTTTTTTCTGGGCTACCCTTTTCTTTTTTCCTTCCCGTTCTTCCACCGTTCAATCCACTGGTTGGATCTACGTTAGACCACACGAATCTATGAATGGAATGAAACATTTTCTACCTAGAGTTCTTTTTCCTTTTTTCTTTTTTTTTTTTGTCATCAGAAGAAACATCTTCAGCATGTCAATCAACACTGGTTAAACTCCGGACAACGAATTGTTTGGAAATGCATTGTTTAATTAAGTTAGTTTTGATTATTCCTATGTGCCACATGAATGGTATATCATGGGGTTTCAACATTTTTTACCTACAGTTCTTTTCTTTTTTTTCATCACAAGAAACATCTTCAGCATCTCAATCCAACATTGATGTAAAACTCCGGTAGCGAATTGTTTGAAAATGTGTTGAATTAGATTCATTTTAATTCTTTATAAGATTAATGATAAATATTTCGACTTAAAATGAATTGTGATGATGGAAAGAATTATTGGCAGTTTGCTTTTTGTATAATATTTTTTTTTATTTTTGTAAAAAAAATGAAAAACCATCTATAGATACACTATAGATGTGAATTCTTTTTTCTACAAAGTATTGTGAATTGTTACAAAAGAGTTTTTCAAAGGAGGTTATACCTGGCAACGAATGAACACGTTCTACAGCTATTATTACATTAACAAAAGTTACAATTCTAATTGTAATCGATTACACTTAATATTATTTTCTCTACTGAAGTATTAAGATGCTACCAAATCATAATACCATTTATTGAGAACTACGTGGACTTTTTGTATTTAACAAAATAGCACTTGTTAGCTTTTGTAAAATTGTGGGTATGTTGTGTTCAATTGAAGAATACAAAAAAATCCACCTGACACGATGAGCCCTTCCCCAATTCATTCAAAGTCGCGTGTCTAACAGAAGTCAATCTATTCAATGATTTCATTTATTCTTCATACAATTAACACTTATTATATTATTATTAACATATATATATATGTATATTTTTTTGTTATTACTTAAGCGG